TCCCTCTCATGCTCTCTGTCTCTCATTCTGTCTGTCTCAAATAAATAAATAAAATCTTTAAAAAAAAAAAAAAAAAGAATTTGTAAGCATTTGTTTTATGCTTTCTCTAAATTTTTTTGTGACAACCAAATAAATAGCCTTTGAAATCTATAAGAATACATATAAAATTCCTTTTCAGTCAATTCATAGGTTAATGTCTCTTCTAGACATGGTTGGGTACAAATGGGAAATTTATTTTGTTTCTCATGTTTGTCTCTATTCTCCTTCCCATTATCTTGCCAAGATTTATACTCTCATACCATCCATTAACTTTGCTCTAATGTTGCACTTTTCAAGGGAGGTTTATAAACAAAGCAAAGGAGAAGATCAATGTAATTAATGAGCAATACAATATCATGTTATCTCTGGAGCACAAAAGTCTACTGACTAATGACCTAAGCAAAGCATGTCATTAGTAATTAAGGAAATCTTAAAACTCGGAAGGTTTCAAACTATTCTTTTCCGTGGAGTTTCAGGTACCAAGTGTAGGGAGCTGGGGAATACCATGTCGGGTGAGAGAACAAGAACCTGAGCAAATTTTCTGTTGCTGTCTTAAGCAATTTTGCTGAGTATAATTGACATATAATAAACTAAATATTTAAAATAAATAATTTGATAAGCCTTGACATATGTACACACCCATGAAACCATTACCACAGTCAAAATAATGAATATATCCATTACCCCAAAAGTTTCCTCATTTCTCCTTGAAATCCCTCCCACCCTTCTCTGTCTGCCTCCCTCATCCTCCCACCACCTCCTCCCTCCAATTTTTTAGACAACCACTCATCTTTCTGTCATTCTGGTTTCATTTTGAGTGCATTTTCTTTGTTTTCTAAACCAGGATATGGGGGAAGATTTCATTTGGAGGGGAGAAATATTACTGCTTCTTAAAAAGTCAGAATAAATGAGAATATCTTGTCATTCTTTTTAAAACATAGACTAGACTTTACTCTGAATCTAATTAGATAAGATCAAATCGGTACAGCTGATACAGGTTAAACTGACTGGCGAGGGGCAGGTTTACAATCCAAAGCTAACTTTGACCTAGTTGTAGATGCAGAAAATTTTCCACAGATACAGTAGTTTATTTAGCTTAAAATTGTTAACTCTGTTGTATTGGGGAGCATTTTCTGGGTTCTACCAATTTTGCTACTGTTGACCGTGGTTTCTGTGTGAAAAACTAAGCCTCCCCACGGGATTTACTTGAATTTTTTTGAACTTCCTTTACCTCCCTCACTAAACTTATGTCACAGGAACCATCTCCCATACTCAACACAGACTAGCCATGGGAAGTTTATGGTAAGATTTAAATTTGAAAGATCTAATGATTATTTTCTTTGTTACTTTATCAACCTACCTAGGATTCCCCTCCCATCATCCTGCCCGTAGTTCTTGTCAAATCAAGCAGCAGGAAAACCAAGTTCCAGGTTGGGTGATTTATACATTGATAAAACCATTTTTAAATGAATTGCAGTCCTTTCATAGGCATATAGAAAAGAAACTTCTTTGTTTAAGAAGCAAGGAAAAAACGTTAAAGGTCCTTAGATTGTTCAAAAACTCTCAATTTATTTTACTCTTCCCTACTCCGTAATGTCATCAATCCAGCCAGATGCTTTGAAGCATCTACTCCAAGGGCTTAAATGAAAGGGAAATTATTATTTTCTACCCAGCCTAGATTATCCTTCCTGCTACTTATTAGTTGTTGATTTACGTAAGTGGTAACCTCCCTGTGCCTCAATTTCCTTATCTATAAAATGGTGATAATAGTAAGTACATCATATTGTCAGTATACTGTTAAATGGCTTAATATATGAAAAATGTTTAAAATGAACAGGGCCTGGAGCATAGTCACTACTCAATAAATGGTAGTTATTATCCTCTTCCTAAGGATGGCTGACCTATAAGATAAAAACATAGGTAAAGTCTGCCCCAGAGTTCTCTCTGTCAACCTTTTTCCTTGACATGACAAGCTCACTTAATTCATTTTCCAAAAAAGTCTATTATAAACCCAAGTCCAATTAATCATTGTTTGTGGCTGCTGTTTCAAATAAAAATAGTGTTCCATGATAAACGCACATAGGTCTACTTGTAGCTTGAACAATTTCCTAAGTGCTTTCCCTCGAGACAACCACCGTGCTTTGGTATGCAGCAGCAGAAGTTCATTATGCTTACTTCCCATTTCTTTGCACAGAATACTCAAAAGATGTGTACTTGTGAGTTAAGATTTAATAAAATAAATCAATAAAATGTATTAATAATTAACCAATAATTCATATTTTTATTACTCCATCAAGGATATTCTTAAGTGAAACTGGCTTTTTTTTCTTTAACTGCAAGTGCAAAGCAGTGAAGAATATAAAGTCTACCAGTATAGTTTTAACACCACTGCCATGATTCATGCTAAGGCACTAGCAGTTTTACCTAAAAAATAAAGCAGTTTTAATACCATTATGAAAATACTTTTGACCTCATAAACCCCGTGAAAAGTCTCAGGTCCACAAATCACATTTTGAGAACTGCTGCTCTATAGTATTTCCCCTGAACACTTCATCCATCTTTATTTCTGCCAAATTGTTTTTCTCGACACAGAGTAATACAGGTCATTTTTCCCTGGTAACTAAGATACAGAATGCCTTTCTGTTGGGATATGTCAGAGTTTTGTGGAGCGTGTGCGGTTTTTAAATCATATTGAAAAATAGAGGGCAAGATTTTAAACATGTTGAATTTTAAATGCATATGAGACATTTAAACAAAAGTATTGTGTGTGGTCAAGATCTGTAGCTAAGGAGGGAGATCTGGGCTTTAAACCTCAGAGTCATTAGAGTATAGGTGGTAGTTTAAGTTGGGACTATTTAGATCACCCAGGAAGAGTGAATGAAATGAGAAAGGGGGAAGAGTTTTGGTGTGAAAACCCTAGAGATCAGTAAAACATAAGTGATCAGGAGAGTAAAAAGCACTAGTGAAAAAGATGAATAAGGAGCAACCAAAGGTAAGAAGAATGCCAGGGGAAAATTAAGTCCCAGAAGCCAGAGAAAAGAGAGAATCTGAAAGAAGGAACTGTTTAGCAGTGTCTGATGCTCCAGAGAATTCAAGGCAGATAAAAACTGAGAAGTCTTGAATTCTTGGGCTAATGGGTAGTCTTAATGGCCTTGTTGAGAGCTGGCTATTCAGTGAAGAGGTGACAAAAGCCAGAGTGTTGCCGGTTGAGAAGTGAACGGGATGGACTTGAGGAAGGAATGACAAATCATCAAACTATTTTGTCAAGAAACTGATGTGAAAAGGAAGGGGAGCTAGAAAGGATCGTTTAGTTGAGAAATGTTTCAGGGTAGGAGAAAACTTGAGCATATTGATAGTGCCGAAGAAAAGACCCATGAGAGAGACAGACAAACAGAAAGACAGAGACAGAGAAAAAGGATAGGTTTCTGGACTCTGCAAGTTCTGGAGCTGGCCAGAGTACGGATTTGCTTGCGGGGGTAAAGAAGGAAGCCTCTTTCACTGAAGTTGAGTAGTGAGAAGGCAAAGATAGCTAAAGACATAGCTAGGTTCAGGGTGTGATAGGGAGGATATTAAGAGAGGTCTCTGTTTTCTTCGAAGTGCCAAGATGAAATTGTGGAAGAAGGTTTGGAAATGGACCAGAGGGAGCAGATCTGGTGAGATCTCAGTTAGCTTGATTTTTTTTTTTTAAGTGTAGTTGAATTAAGACACTGAGAGAACCAAAGGAAAAATACTGCAGGTAGAATAGTCAAACTGTTGATGGTGATCACTAGAGAATGGTGACTTAGTTGCCTGGGTTTCCATTTATTTTCTCTAGGTTTAAGTGTTAAATCACACTTCAAAAGCTAATTTGTTTCTTGTTTTTCCGTGGGGAATAATAATAAAAATAAAACTCTAGCTAAAATGTATAAATTCTTATTCTATGCCAGGCACCCTGCAGATATTCATACACATTATATCTTATAATCTGTGTAACAATCCCAAGAAGTGCTTATTATTATCTCCATTTTACAGATAGTGAAACTGAGGGACAGAGCAGGTAAATAAATTGCTGAAGATCATATGACTTGTTAGTGGCAGACCTGGAATTCTCTAACTCAAAATCCTGCTCCTTAACCACTTACATCACCTTGGGCTAGATTCCTGCCACTCTCCAGGATACCTTTTCCCTACTACCTCAACTAGTGTGCCTAGAGTAGGACATGCACCTTAATACTCGTCTAAATGAAATATAAGGGGATAGTCTTTTCTTCAAAAAGGTATGCTATCTTCCAATGCCACTCCCAAATCTCTTGGATTAGCCATGATTTAATTCTATATAATTGTTTCTTTTTCTTGATAGAATATCGAGAATTGAATATGATCTTTCTAAACCACTCATTTCTGAAATTTTAATGTTAAAGATAATGTTTCAGATTTTTAGAGAGGATAAAGCAAAAGAAGAACATTGTAAAAAAATAATGTATATATAACAAATACAAGTATATGTGTGTATAAATGAATGAATGAATGGTTGGGCAGGTAGTGAGTGTTCAATAATGTTTGTAAATTATATGAATCAGTGTATTACAATTGATATTTCATACTTTGTTCATTGGTTCATTTCTAACAGAAAATTCAGCATAAAGAAAAAGTTCTTAGAATGTGCAAATAAATTATATTCTTCCTTTTTTTCTGTCAATTGATAATTTTAACAGGTTTTTGAATCTAAAAATTCAGGAAGGTGAAGCTCACAACATTTTCTGCCCTGCATATGATTGCTTCCAACTTGTGCCTGTGGATATCATAGAAAGTGTAGTTTCTAAGGAGATGGACAAACGATATCTACAGTTTGATATTAAGGTATGCTGCCAGTTATCTGATTTCATTTTCATTTTAATTTTATTAAACTGTATAACATTTTATTTAATTTTTTGTTTTATTTTTGAAAACACATAGAACAATGACTCTGACTTTTGTCTCCCAGAAAAACTGCATGAAGGAATGATGGCATTAATTAAAGTTTTAAGCTAAAGCATTATTTTTTTTAAAAGATTTTATTTATTTGAGAGAGAGAGCATGTACGTACATGTGAGTATGGGGAGGGGCAGAGAAAGGAGAGAGAGAATCCCAAGCAGGTTCCACGCTCAGCACAGAGCCCAACGTGGGGCTTGATCTCACGACTCTGAGATCATGACCTGAGCCAAAATCAAGAGTCAGACACTTAACTGACTGAGCCACCCAGGCTCCCTAAAGCATTATTTTATGGTCATGATAGATAAAATAAAAATAAAAAATTGAAATAGTAATTTACAAAAAAAAAAAAAAAACTTGCTCAAAACTATTTACTGATTTGCCTGTTGAACTTTTAAAACTGATCAAGGCAGTGTTCAAAGTAAATAGTACCTATTTGCAGTTTCCCAAAAGGTATATTTTAGACTTCTAAATGTAAATATTCAGAAATAAAGATTATCAACTTGGAATGGGTTTTTTTCAAAAAATAGTTTCATATGATGAATTATAATGTTTCTCTTTTTTTCTATATTTATTTGCATTTAAGAATTGTCCAGGGGCGCCTGGGTGGCTCAGTCATTAAGCATCTGCCTTCAGCTCAGGTCATGATCCCAGGGTCCTGGGATCGAGCCCCGCATCGGGCTCCCTGCTCAGTGGGAAGCCTGCTTCTCCCT